ATTCCATAAAGTCTCTCGATTTCTAAACCTTGGCAACTGACTTTTAAAAATATTTTTTTATTGATTTCAGAGAGGAAGGGGGGGAGAGAGAGAGAAACATTGATGAGAGAGAAGCATCATTGATCAGCTGCCTCCTGCACACCCCCTACTGGGGATGGAGCCTGCAACCCGGGTGTGTGCCCTGACCAGGAATCAAACCTCAATCTCTTGGTTCCTGGGTCAGTGCTCAATCACTGAACTACACGGGTGGAATTGGTTTTTTTAAATAAAATAAAAAATGCTGTGGGCCAGACTAAACCTCTGGGCTAAATTTTATCCTGGCCCCTTGGGAAACATACTCTGAAAGAACCCCGCTCTTCTCGGAGCCCCACGCATCTGAAAAGGGCACCTTCCCCATTGAATTTAGGAAGCAGGGTCTGCCTGCAAGAGGGCTCACCCTCAACTCTCCTTCATATAAAGGGAGACGGGAGGGCAGATGTTGAACATCTTACGAAGGGCAAGCTCTGTAAGAGTTTAATTTGTCAAGGAAACTAAAGTCCAGAGTGCAGTTGGGGAGAGAATGTTCAAAGGGGATGAAGTCCCTGCCCTTCACCACCACCCCGTTGTCCAGCCCCACTTCTTACCTCCACACCCCAGGACTTCTCAAACATCATCTCGTGCAGCTTTGGCAGGAGATGCCAATACAAGGGAACTCCCAAACCAGATTTCCGTCTTCTGTCAGGGTTTGACAAAAAACACACTAAGCCCAAACCCTCTTGTCGGAATCCCCGACCCCTCAATTCAATGCTCTTATCCTCAACTTCAAGCAGCCTTGCCTTCCCCTCTTTCTCTCCTCACCTAAATATTTCTTAATTGAACGGTTTGCTGTGGAGCTTCCTTATAGCAGTTTAATAGATTAACTCATCTGAGCCAGCCTCAAATTTCAGATTAAAATTCCTTCATCCCGAAGGCAGCATTATCAGGTTGTTGGAGGCTGTTTTCAAACCTTGGTTTTGAATAGCAGCGGCTCTGCATTAATTTAACCACTAAGCTAATAAGTAGGTTTCGTTTTGTTATGCTAAGCTTTATTGCTTTTCTTTTGATCAGAATGGTGTTGTTGAGCAAAGCAGCAGACAAGGCATTCTTTGATGAGGGAATTAGCTCTCCATTCTTCCTCTATTATTCATAGCACAGTGGAATATGTAAGTACCTGAGGGTGTCAAAGGAGCGCAGGTTCTATTGCAAAGTGCTCGCCTTGTTTCTCTCAATAGCTGACTATGAGATGATAAACCGCTTAATACACGGTGCTAATTGGATGAGAGCAAAAAGAGATGGGAATTAAGGCGAGGCAAAAGGAGAAAGTGCAACCAGCCTTCAATTCACTCTTTCACCACTTTACCAGCTCCAAAGGAGGCACAAGCTTTCTATAAGCAGACTAGAGGTTTTGTGCAGAGATAAAATGAACGTGTTAGTGGATTCAAGTAATACACTAATTATTGCACAGTATAAATACCACTACTGGTTTTATAACAGGGAGGTAAACTTCTTTTGAGAGGGTTATAGGATTGCTTGGCAGTGGTGTAGAACCTAATAAGGGCCCAGAGTAATAACCCCCTGGATTAACAAAATTGCTGCTTGTTAGAAGTATGATTCAGGCTTTCCCGAAGATTTCCGGAGAATGAATAAAAATGACTGAATGACATTTCTTAATGTATAACTGGCACTCGCTCCCTTTTCTTTAAAGGAAAAAAATGTATACTTCAAACTGGACCGTTAATAAAGTCCAGGGACAACACGACTTTTTCCTTTGAAAAACGCTTTTTCCCATCAGGTAGTAGGTTTTCTTGCCCCCGCCCCCCAGGCAGGCTGCCGCCTTAAGTTAAATGTGCAGTTGCTCCGGCGAACTCGGTGTTCCAAAATACAATTTTAGCCCCCATTTAAGACCCCCTTCATTCAGACACTCACTTGTGTGTATACACATACACACATGTTCATACACAGTTTTTTCCTCTAAATGCAAGTTGAACGAACCCATGTATCATTTTCTTTTCTCTAACATCAGCCCCCTTTTCCATTCTGGTAAGATCACACTCAAGATGATACAAAAAAGAGAGCTCCAGATGCCTTGTCTCTTGGTATTATAAAGAAAACACAATAATAAATGCTTGCCCCACTTGGGGAGGGGGGGGGGGCTTAAGGGGAGAAAAGGGAAATTGGCCCGGGCCAATACTGGTGACTTTTAGCTTAAGTCCCCCAGCCATCACAGACCTTCTCTTCAATAGTCACTCTCCCCTAATTCATCTGCCTTCCATCTTCCTCACTATAAGCCTAAGCTGTTTACCCCAACTACTGTCCACAGTTCAGGCCATGGGTAGTTGGTGACGGAAGAACACTTAGGGGCACCTTCTGACAATGTTAGGCCAACTGCCTCCTCTCCTTTTCCTGTGGGTCCTCATCCAGATCTGGTCTGAAAATGTAGCAAATGAACTCACCCCTTCCCCTCATTCCCACAGAGGCCCAGACCAGGCTCCCAATCACCCCTCACCCCAAGATGCTGTGGAGGTGGCCCTGGGAAAGCTGGTGGTGGGGCATTCTGCCCTGGGTGTGACAGGGGACAGCCATGCCCCTGTCATGGGGCTCTCCCCAATTTGCCTGGGCTCCGGCTCTGCACCCCTCCTCCATGGTGGAAGGGGGGGGGGGGGGGCCCGTCAGCCGCTCCCAGCATTGTGACTGCGTTCCCAGATATTGGGGCCAAATTGGGTTGCCATTCATTAATAATGCTCACAATAAGATTAAATCATTCTGGAAAATCTCATAAAATCCCCCTAAGTACGCTCCAGTGGCTCTTTCCAATCCCCATCATTCAGCACTTGGGGAGGTTTGGAAAGAGAAGAAAATTGGTTTCTTTGCTTTTAATGCTGCTTTGAAAAGATACTCAGAGTTTGTCATGCGTGACATGTCACATGTTTAATGTGGACTTGCTGGAAGTCAGGGGGTCTTTAGCGTGTGATATTTATGGGGAATATTAAGTGCAGAATGAGGTCCCTCCAGCTGGGGAAAGTTGAAAGAATAGGAGGCCTAGAACTGGGCTTGTTTGCGGCATCAGAATGGCATAGGATTAAGAGTTTGTAAAACAAGGCGAGGGGTTCTCATTGGCCAGTAATAAACGTAATCCTTGGAGGTAATTTCACGCAATTTGCTTCTGCTCCATGGAAGGGTCAAATGAGAAAAAATGACTTAAAAAAGAGTTCATTAACAGGAAGAATGGTACTGTTTCTCGTACACCATCCAACTGGCAGCCTGGAGAGGGGAAAAGCCCTACCTAAACAAAAAGCCAAAATCGTCGGAAAATTGATAGTGACCACAAAAAAAGAGAGAGAGAGTCCTTTCCCTCACGTTCCTCCTGCACTCCCCCTCTCCACTCCAAACTCCTGAGCAACTCTGCCCACCCCAGGAAAGCGGCCTTCACCCCAGGAGCCCCTGCGGAGTCTGGAGCTTTGACACACTCGGATACCAGGGGTCCTCCTTCAAAGTTCCCGCCGGGCCTGCTACACCCCAGAGAGAAGTGTGTGGCAGGAACTGCCGAGAGAAGGTAGTTGGCCGCGTGCGCCCCAAGCCTCAGACCAGGCCCCAGCTTGTGAGCGAGTCTAAGGCCGGGACAGGGTGGCGATGACCCGCCCCAAGGCCCGGGAGCCTCGAGGGCGCGCTCCCCACGGTTTCCAGCGGGCGGGGGCTCCGGACATCGGGGGCGGGGGTGGGGGGGGCAGATGAGGACTCCCGGGCCTGAGCCTGGCAGCTGCCTAGCGGGCGGCCCTCGGGGAGCCGCCGCTGACCTCGGCCCGACCCCGCACCTGCCCCTAGGCCTTGCACACTGGCGCCCCAGGCCGAGGGGACCCGCCCCCCTCCTCCGGATCGCCGCCTGGGAGCGCACGCAGAGCCCGATCACTAGGGCTGGAGGCGCGCCCGCGCCCCCCACGGCGACCGAGGGCCCGGGGCCTGGCGGGGCCAGCAGGTTCCGGCTCCGCGAGGCGCGGTAGTCACACACCCGCTGCCTGCCCCCCCCCCCCCCCCCCGCCTGCCCCTCTCCCCAAAGGTCTGGCGCGCTAATTACTGCAAATTGAAACTAATTAGGCTTCTCTTCCCTTTCCCATCACCCTGGGAGCGTTGGTGAGACCCGGCCCCTGCGGGCGGTCTAAGGCCCAGCGGTCACCCTGAGAGCGCAGGTAGGGCCTGGGGCGGGGGGCGGGGAGGGGGAGGCTTCCGTTCGGGCTCAGGGGAGGGATGCGCCGAGGGGGCCACAGACCGAAAATCGTTTGGGGGTCTCCTCTTGAAACTTGAGTTGTTTAGATTTTTTTAAATGTATACATTTTTCAGTGCCTGGATAAGTGATGACATTTGTCGAGTTAAGATTTGTCACTTGGATACCTCTCGCTGCCTTTCCCGTCACCATCCCCGCGGTCTAGGGCTCTTGGGGTTTCTCTCTCTCTCTTTCTCTCTCCCCTTCCTTCCCCCTCTCCATCCCTTCTCACTGAGCCTGTACTGTGTACCTGGGAGCCCGCCCCCTTGGAAGCCAGCGCCTCGGTTTCTAGCCATTACCTGTCATCTGGGACTGAGCACCTCCTCGCTGCGTGGCACTTTCCACGAAGAGCTCCCTTCGACTTGCGAGCCAAGGCTCCCGCTCACTTCCAATTTGTCTCCACCACCAGCGACGCCTACCTTGCACCCAACCACCCTGGAGCCTACCCCACCTCCGTGGCCCATGACCCGAGGAAGCAGAGAAGCCCCTGGAAAGCGCTACTGCGGCGCCTCCAGCCTCTGCAGGAAGCCCGGGTGCCTGTGAGGATCAGATTCAAACCAGGGATCTGTGCCAGGAAAACGGGAGTGCAGATAAATCCCGGGGATGCTGGGTGCCCAGCCCTGGCCTCCGGGGGTCCCCCTTCTCCTGTCCCCTCAGTGCCTGCACAGAGCATTCACACTTCCTTTTGTTAAACATATAATTTTTTTTTTTATTTTGAGCGTGACACTTCTCCACTAGATAGCAAGGAAAAGTGATAACAATTACACATTACACAAAAGTACTGTACCATTGCCTTTATCTTGAAGGTTTCGGAAGCCTCTACCGTTAATAAGTTAAATAAAGGGCTTGATTGAGTACATAAATATTTGTCTAGGAACCCTACCGTATCTACAACACAGTAAGAATCTACAGGAGGACAAACTTTTACCATACCACGCTGAGTGCAATTGCGTTATAACATTTCAAATATACAAAGCTCTGTTCTTTTTTTTAATAACAATGGTATGTACAGAATCAATAATCACAGTTGGTGACTTCAACAGTCCATATTCTAGCAGAGTATTTCCCTTTGGTTTGATAGAAAAACCTTGGTTGGTGTATGATAAAGAAGAGAACAAGAACAAGACGCCCCTTTCCATTAAGTGCACTGTTAGCTATCTTACAGATTCGCATTCGCTTCCCAGGCCCTGGCTTCATGCCGGGGGCCCACGCTGGGGAGATCAACGTAGAGCGCCAAAATGCTATTCAAAAAAGAAAAAAAAAAGCTAAGTGGGATGTCGGGAGGAAGAGAGGTTGGGCTTTTTAAAATTTTCACTTCGATACCAGGCGTCTTGGGGAGCAAACCTCCCCATCTTTTCAGTAAAGTAAGAATGGGAGAGTGTGGACGTCCGAGTTGGAGCAAGGTTGGCAGGAGTAGGGACGGGGCGCTGGGGGGAGGGGGGGCGAGTGGCGGCAGAGACAGGGGAGGAGTGGACAGCCAGCCCAGGAGGTGCCACGTCCGGTAGCGCCGAGGGCCGCCTCGCCCGCGTCCAGGCGGCTGCGAAAGCGGCTGCGCTCTCTCAGTGGCCTCTCGGGAGTGTGCTGGTCCTCTGTTTCCATTTGGTCTTGAGTGGTGCTGAGTGAGGTGACCTTCGGGGGCGCGCCCTGGGCTCGCGGGGGCGCGGCGGCCTTTAGCACACCTCCTTGCCCGTGCTGGTGCCCGGCAGGATGTTGAGCTGCGTGAGCTGCGCCGCGTGCTCCTTGGCCTTGAGCCTGAGCGCGGCTATGCTAGAGGCGCGTCTGTCTGCGGCCGCCGTGGCCGGGTCGGCCAGCGCGCCCGACGCCACCGCGCCCTCCACGGCCGGAGCGGGCTGTCTCAGGAGCGCGGCTGCGGTCGACGCGCTGGTCAGGGGGGCCATGGTGGAAAAGAGCCTGCGGGGAGAGCAAACAGCGCGGTCACGGCCTCGCCTCGGGAACCCAGGGCGGCGCCTCCGATCAGGGGAGCAGAGGGGCGCCGCCGCAGGGGCGCGGAGGCGCAGGCCCGGGATGGGCCGCGCGGGCTGGGGAGTCGGTGAGGGCGCGGGCGGGAAGCTGGGCGCCGCGAGAGGGCTTTACTGGGGCCGGGAGCAGACGGAGGAAAGAAAGATCAAAGGGCCAGATATTCCTGGAGAGACCGAGGCGGGATCGGAGAGAGGTCCCGCGGCCCAAAACCCGGATTCTGTGCTTTCGCTTAAGAAGGGGGTTGTATTCCCAGACCCGCAGCTCCAATTGCCTGCAATACTATTTGCCAGGAGAGACAAAGAGAAAAAGGAAGCCCGGTGGGGGGTGGGGGGATCAAAACTGCTCAAGACCTGTTCTACAGGCATTGGTACTCTCTCTGGGCCCAGAGTCTAGGGAGCCTTATCTGCCCGGACTTCTTTGGCCCTGGAAAATCCAGCCCCGTTTGCCGACCTTCCCGCCAACAGGGCAGCCCTCCCGTGCCCGGCTGAGCTGCCAGTGCCGGGCCAATGATCGCGAGGTCCGCGTAGAGGCGCCCGCCTGTTGATTGCCCATGGACAGAAGGCTATGACCCTCCAGAGGCCCTGCGTCCTGGCACAGCGACACCCTTTCCCCGCCGCCTTCCCTTGCCCCAGAGAGCCTCTGGACCCGCCACCGCCACGCACGCGGTGCCAGGAGGCATCCTAGCCTGGAACCCCACTCTGTGCCACCACCTCCAGGCAGCACCAGGATTGCTCTGTGCGCTGCCGCCACCCGCTTTGCACAGCAACTCAGCGAGGTCATGAACAGCCAGCCCCCTGGCCAGGAGACACCGCCACCCCTACCCACCCCGCCCCCTGCTTCTCTCCAGGGCTCTGGCTCCCGGCCCCTGTAGGCCCAACTAGGGATTTCCAGGATTAGATGCGAGCCCACTAGGGCTGGAGGAGAGCCTCCTGCTTCTCAACCCCTCATACCCGGCCCAGTGCACCCCTTTTCTAGCTCTCAGAACCTCGCAGCCCGGTACCCAGCTTTAACAAGTCGCTTGTTGTCAGAAAGAAAAAGGGTGGGGAGCGGGGCGATGAACACAGGGCTTAAATCTTTTCCCATAAAGAAATCAAGTGTGGCCTGAAGGGGGCGCAACGTGCCCTGGTTCCACTAGGTAAACTGAGTCACTAACTACACTGCAATTCACTCGCTATTTATTTCATTGGTTTTTGAAAATTTCTCTAAGATGATTTTTGTTATGTGGCTGCACAGTTGGCTAAATCTATTATTTCTTTGTTCTCCCAAAGACAGATCGTTGAAGCTGCATCAGTTTTATTTTCACTGCACTTTCCAACTTAATACATCCCTCCATTGTTTCTTTGTCTGTGCGATTATACAGACTTTTTATTCCATCATGTGATGTTCATTTAAAGAGGGAGTTACAACATATGATGAACTGTTTCTTTTATTTCGTTGTCTTGTGCCCCGTGGGGTTGGGGATTGCACATACAGCGGGTCACTTGAGTGACTCGGAGAATAGAGTCTGGGGAAGAGGGAAGAATCCTTTGCACCCAGAGGGCCCGTGGCCCCAGGTCTCCTGTGGAGCCCAGGGCTGTGTTCCTCTGACTGCCAGGCTTCAGGGCATGAGGAAAGATTTTTGCAAAACTTGCAGCCATCCGGGCCCAGCATTCTACACCTGTACACTTTCACACACACACACACACACACACACCATGGCCTGGGCTGTTGCCACCTTGAAAGGGTATTTTTACAGCTTTCACTGAACACTCAACATGGTCCTGGTTGTTGTTACTGCCACCGTCCTCTTTACTGCTCAGTCTCAAAAGTCATTCCCTTCCAGATCCACACTGTTTGAGGCAAAATTAGAGATGCTTTTCTTTGGCTAAATCTTCTCGGTTAGGCTAGAGAGAGAAGTGTCTCTGCTTGTTCCGGGTCTCCTCCCTGATCCCAGGTCGTGTGTGTTTGTATGTGTGTGTGTGTGGGGGGGGGGAGACAGACAGACAGACAGACACCCCCGAGGCGGCGTATTACCTGCCAAACGCAGGACTGATGAAGGCTGGGTGCCGGAACACGGCGGCTCCGAGGAAAGTGCTCAGGCCCAGCGGCGCCCCGCTGGGCGGCAGGCTGGCCGATCCCGGAGGCGGAGGGAGGCTCGGGAAGGCGGCGGCGGCAGCGGCGGCGGCGGCGGTCCAGGCCGAGTCGAGCGCGGGGTGGTGCGGAGGGAAGGGGCTGGCGTCTAGGTAGGGGCTGAGCGGGTGGGTGGCCGACAGCGGCCCGGGGAAGGGCAGCCCCGGAGGATGGGTCTGCGCGCCCGCCTTCTCCCGCTTGCGCCACTTCGCCCGACGGTTCTGGAACCAGACCTGCAAGCGCAGGGAGCCCGGTTCAGTGCGGCTCCCCTCCCTCCTTTCCACCGCAGCCCGCCTCGCCCCTCTCCAGCCTCAGGTTGATCAAGGACACTTCTGGGGCCCAACGGGGAGGTGAAAAGAAGCCCAAACTTAAAACCAGCAGGAAACCTGGGCCAAGCAAACCCTTTCCAATGGGTATGTCAACGAACCTAGTTCTTTCCACGTTTAAGGAAAGTTGTTGGGTGTGTTTAGAGGTGAGGAAAGCAAGGTTTAAAAGTCTGCGCAGTTGCTTGCTGTGCATCTTTAGACAGGTCACGTCAACCTCTCTTAACCTCAGTTTTCTAATCTGTAAAATGGGGTCATAAAACTACTCATAAGGCTGGGGTGAAAGTCCAGGAGGAAGGGGTGGAAGGAGACAGGTGAAAGCTCACATCCAGAGTGGCGAAGGCATATCACCTTTTTTTTGCTGCACATCAGCTATTTTCACCTACTTTAGGCTTACCCAGCAGCTGGCAAAATCCCCGCTCTCTATTGAAAAGGGAATGGGGAGGTGGTTCATTTATTCTATCCAAACATGTCCATTGAACACCTAGAGCAGTGGTTCTCAACCTTCTGGCCCTTTAAATACCGTTCCTCTTGCTGTGACCCAACCATAAAATTATTTTCGTTGCTACTTCATAACTGTAATGTTGCTACTGTTATGAATCGTAATCGTAATGTAAATAGTTGATATGCAGGATGGTCTTAGGCGACCCCTGTGAAAGGGTCATTCCACTACCAAAGGGGTCGCGACCCACAGGTTGAGAACCGCTGACCTAGAGTATTAGGTTGGGCTCTGGGGTTTGGAAAGGGCTGGAAGGGAAGAAATGCCCACAGTAATTCCGGAACAAGCATACATTTTGGGGTCTGTTTCCCATGAAATGGAACACGGGGCACACAGTCTGCCACCTGCAGGGGCTGTGCCAGGGCCTGGTTCTGCCCAGGCAGACACTGACTGGTTAGGCCAGGGACGCAGCAGTACCTGGTCACCCAGAAATCAGAGTGCAGGGTACCTGTCGACTTTCTACTTTTTTTCCACATCTTTGGAGTGAACGGGTCCTTTATTTCTGGGGGGAGGGGGGATGTGGTTTAAATAGTTTATTTAAATAAGTTAGTTCTAGGCTTGGGGGAGGTTTGCAGCACAAGGTGTGTTCCTAATTGTTAATAGAAAGCAGTGTTAGTAGAGACCGTTACCTGAAGTGTGGCAGCTACCACAGTCTAAAAATAACTGCCGGAGCCTGAAATTATTTTTATGTGACCTGCTCATCACACCCACAGCTGAGATATGTGCCTTCTCCCCCGAAGGCATTCATATTTTTAGGGCTGGGTTGATGCCTGCACACAAGTCTAAAGATTAAGAATGAGCCCCAGGCTATACAGAGTTATATTAAAATATAATGTAAATGATCCCAGAGGGATACGTTGTACAAATGTTTCAAAGACATCCTTGTCTTTCACAGATACACACTGGGGGCTGTGGTTACTAGCACGAGTATCTAAGCTTGGCTTGGCTTCTAGACAGCCAGCCACCCGGGGCAAGAAACATCCCGAATCCAAATCAGTTGATTACTTAAAAATTCTGCTGAAAAGGGACCCATCCATAACATTCCACCGCCTTCACATAACCTATTTGTGAATTGCAGAAACAGACTACTGGGGAAATTCAGAGGCTTGAAAAGGTAAGACTAGATGGGACCAAGCTGGGTGGGCAGCTTTTGTGTATCCAAATCTGTCTAGACGAGAATATCCGCCACTCCCCAGGGCAGTGAAAGGAGTCAGGGAGGGGGGCAGCGGGATAGAATGCCCTCAAAGGACGTGGAAACCTTTTACAGACGGATCGGATCGTCTCTCCCGGCTCAGCTGCAATTATCAAGATGTCCCCCTGCAATTCCTCATTATTGAATTAATACCTCTGAGGCCCCCCAAAGGTAAACGAAAGGACTCTAATAATTCATATTCACTTAATTACATCTTCTCCAGTGAATAGGGACAGAGGAGAAGGGGAGGGGGGCAGTCTCTTTCTTTTTAAAAGTTATTTAACTTTCCCACGACTCGTTCCCCTGAGCTGAAAATGCGGAGTTGCTGTCACATCTCTGTTTGACAATGGAGAAATGTGTCAACAGAAAGGAGGGGGGCAGGCCTCATCATTAGCCCTCTAATGCAAGAAGCTGTTGTGTATTAAATGAGCCATATGGAATTTATTGTGCTTTATCAGCGCTCGATTTTGACTGTAAAGTGATTCACTCAGCTCCGAGCTCAGGGACATCTGTTTTCTGTTGGCCACCGGGCTGCGCAGTGTTGATCGTCTCTTTGGTTATGAGGCCTGGGTTCGGAAATGCACTCTGGTATGGGGCTGCAAACACCTTTAATAGCATTGCACTCACTCCCTATTAGATCAATGTGGGCTCATTGCTATAAAAAATGGGAAATCAAATAGCATTAGCCAGCTCCTTGTGTGGGCAGAGGGGAAATCAAACAGCATTTTGCCGTCAAATGGCCCTGTTTGTTCTAGCACTAAGTGGGCTTTTATGAAGCCCAATCCGGAGACTTAATCGCAGCCAAATACCTGCTTGGAGCTGAGCGGATTTGTCTAACAACCAAATCCATGCTCCATCCCATTATTTCAATCAGGAGAAGGCAGTCCAAGGATTGGTTCCTGCAGGGGCTCCTGAACTTCAGTCTCAGTGACCCTGAAACCCCTTTTCCTCTTCAAGGCTCCCAAACCCAGAAACCTTCCCCTCCACCCTCCCAGGCCTTCATATTCTAATATCTTTTGGTGCGAGAATGAATGTTTAGGTCTCTTTTTCGGATTCCGCTTCTCTTCCTTTAATAAAGGGGGTCTCCACTCCCCCTAATTCCTTCCATCTGTCTCCTTCCCATCCCCTCCCACTTCCTCCCTGTCTTGGGAGCAGCTCACCTGGACTCGGGCCTCAGTCAAGTCCAGCCTCATGGCCAGTTCCTCCCTGTAAGAAAGCAACACAGACAGGAGGTCACTGCAAACTCCAGCACGGCTCTCAGTCTCCTTCCCCCGCTGGCAGGCCTCCCCTGGCTGCTTGCCCTCACCCCCAAACACATGGGTATCACCATCCCCTCAGCACCGGAGTGCCTACTGTTTGATTGAAAACATTAAAAATGCAACAGCATTGCCAGACGTAGCATATTATATATTATATCATATATTATATCATATTACATTCAAGAGTGACAAGGGTGGCTTCCTGAGTCTGTAAGTCTAGAGAACTGGGCACTCAGATTCTCTCTCACTGTCTCTTAAGACAGAGTTAGACAACACACACACACACACACTCGGTGCTTATATCCTGTTTTGTCCTAATACCAAATGGTTGAACTTGGCACTCAATTTTTAAAAATGTTTATGCCCTCTTAAAAAAAATTTTTTGGCCTCTCTCTCTCTCTTTCTCCACCTCTATGCCTTTCCCTCCATCTTTCCCCCCCTTCCTCCCTCCCTTCCTCCCCCCCCCCATAGGTCATACTTCCCCATTACCCTCTGGAGATATGTTAAGCTTATTAAGAGTTCAGTGGGATAATTTTTCGATTAAACAAAATTCTGCGCACCTCCTGACTCCACTGCCCACTACAAACCCTGCCCATCTCAGGGGAAGTCAATTTAACTGAAACCCTACCCCGTCATTGCAGTTATTACTGCGACAATTAAGGCAAATAGGAAACCATTAAGATGCTGTAAAAAGGCTTAAGACCTGTTTACCGAAAATATGAGCGCGCCCAGAATAATTGGCTCCCCGATAGCTAACGAAAGAGCGGGGGCTGTCCCAGCAGAGACCCGGGTTGCACTGGCAGGCCCCCAGTCCACACCCGAAACTTCAGGACCCGGAGAAAGCCGGTTCCCTGAGCGCTTCTGGCCGCCCCCTGCTTCGGGGAGCACCAGCAAATTCAAATCACACTCCTGGCTGGTGCCCAGCAGGAACCCAAAAGCTCTAACCGCCGGATCCAAAAGAGGTAGAAGTGGGGTGGTGGTGAGGAGCTGCCCCCCATCTCCGGCTCTGGTTCCCCTTGGAGAAGCTAAAGGAGGGCAGACCCGGATGCCAACTGACACCACATCATTTTCTTCTTGTGAAATCCACGTGTGATAAATGCAAAAAGCCGTCCGCTCCTTAGCTATTTGGCAGCACACAATGGTATATATATTTAATGACAGTGAAGGCCTGGATGACATAGGGCAGGACCAAGTTTAGCTCAAGAGATGACCAAATCTCATACCTTTGCCCAGCATCCAATCCATCCCCCCCCCCCCCCCCCCCCCGTTTCGGGTTAGGAGAGCGTTTGGCAATTAATTGCCAGAGCAACTGCACTTCAGAGTTGGCCTAAGCAGCAATTTCTCCCTCACTTCAAAGGGGTGGGCAGCTTTCCGCTTCCAAAATGCACATTGAAAAGCCGCACACGTCTCCTGCGAAAGAGCTGCCCGAGCTTAAGGAGCCCTGCGGCAGGCAGGCACCTCTTTTCCTCCCTCCCCGCTGGAGAAGTTTGCCCTCGCCCTGGCTCCTCGCTCCTCGGCCCGAGCCGGAGACCTTGGCCGTAGGGGGGAGAGGAAGGTCCCCAGCTGGGCTTGCACCCCAGGTCAGATGAAAAAATGGGGGCCAGGAGCCCAAGTAATCTCACAGGCTTTTTTCCAATACATACACACACACACACACACACACACACGCGCGCGCGCACACACACACACAGGCACACGCACACTCGGGTGGGCTAGGAGGGGTGCGGAACCATGCGCAACACCCGGGTTCGGTTGGCCACCCATCAAACAGAAAAATCCCCCCAGCTGTTCCATCTAAGGCTGGCCAGGCCTCCAGCAAGTATTGCCCACCCGGTAAACCCGTGTACATTAAACGCACGCCGGCTTAATGTGATGGGGTAGAGAGGAGAGCGTTCTACAGGCACCCCCGTGCGCACAGAGCAAACAGTGCTCCGTTCTGACTTCCTTCGGTTATGTCAGGAGTCCTCACACCACACAACTTGGGTGTTTTTTTAAAGGCCTCCACAGGCGCGGGCTCCAGCTTCACTGCGAACAGCGTAACTGATACCCACCCGGCTCCTGGGGCGTCAGGCTGGGGGGTAGCTAGCGCCCACACAGCTACCAAAAATAGCCCCTGCTTTGCCTCGGGACCGGCAGCGGCCGAGCTTCCTGCGCCTCGCCTGCAACCCGGCCGGGCCGCTGCGCCCCAGGCCTCCGCCTTCTGCGCGCAGGGAACTCTCCTCTCCAAGGTGGCAGGTTCCGGCGCCCTTTGGAGAGGGCCTTTCTTTCTCTCTAAAACTTGGACTTGGGGGGAAAAAAATTAAACTGGATAGAGCCTCCTTGGGAAGGAAAGAAATCGTCCCAGTCTGAACTTAAAAGTCCGGAGTAGGGCGTGGGGAGAGGAGTTGGGGAGTTCCCGGTGAGCAGGGGTGGGTGCGTTGGGATGGCGCCTGGGTCAAGTCCAGGAGCGAAGTCCTTGCCCCGAGCTCCGGGCGGGGGACTGGGGGGGGGGGGAGCTGCCCGCCCGCCTCTCTTCTCCGGAGCCCGCCGCCGGCCCTCCCCGCGCGCGTACCTGGTGAAGACGTCCGGGTAGTGCGTCTTCTGAAAGGCCCGCTCCAGCTCCTCCAGCTGGTAGCTGGTGAACGTGGTGCGGTAGCGCCGCTGCTTGCGCTTCAGCAGCCCCTCCTCGGAGTCGCTGCCCGCAGACAGGCACACGCTGTCCTCGCCGTCCTTGCCCTCGGCGTCCTCTGGGTGCAGCAGCAGCTCCTCCTTGGGTGACAGCTCCCCGCCCTCGGCGGCCACAGTGGCGGCAGCGGCGGCGGCCACCGCGCCGGTGGCGGCCACGGCGCAGCGTCGGGGCTCCTTGAGCAGCGCGCGGGCATCGTCCTCCAGCAGCTCCTCCTCGTCGTCCTCCAGCAGCTCCTCTTCCTCGTCCTCGTCCTCTTCGTCCTCCAGCAGCTCCTCCTCGTCCTCCTCGGCGCCCGCGCCACCGCCCGCCGCCGGGTTACCGCAGGGGCCGCCGGCTGCGCCGAGGCGCTCGTCCGGGTGCGCGGGGCCCCCCGGGCCGCCCAGCTCGTCCAGCGCGGGCGGTGGCGGCACGAAGGGCGCCCCGTTCTCACGATACGACTTGCTGCGGCTGATGCTCACCTGCGGCGCCTGGCTGATCTTGAGCGTGTCCCAGGCCGCGGCGGCGACAGCGGCGGCGGCCACGGCGGCCCCCGCGCCGTCCGGACGCGCGGTTGGTGGCGGTGGCGGCGGGGCCTCCCCCCGCGGACCCCCGGTGGCCGCCGCTGCCGCCGCCGCGGCGCCCTGGAGGAGGCGGCCCCCGCCCGGGCCATACAGGCGCCGCAGCTTGGGCGGCAGGTGCAGCTCAGCCTCGAACGGAGCGCTGCTGCCCTTGGGGGAGCCTGCGGGCAAGGGAAAGCGGTCAACCGGCGGCCGGGCCGGCGTCTGGGACAGAGCCGCTGCCGGGGCCGGCCCGCCCCTGCTCCCTGGGCCCAGGCGTACTCCACCTCTGCCTGCCCCCTCGTGTCACCAGACTTCTACCCCTGCTCCTCCCTCCCGACTTTTCTCGCTTTTCCTTTTTCTTTACATCTTTCTCTTTTTCCCTTCTCTCTCCTCCATCCTTCCCTTCTTTCCTTCCCTTCTCCTGCTCTTCCTTTTATTTCCTTCCTTCCATTTCTCTCTCCTCTTTCTCTCACAGTTGCTCTCTTTCTTTCCTTATCTTAATCTTCTCCCCATCCTTCCTTTCTCTTTTTGTGCGTCCCCCCGCCCCCTCCCCACACACACCTAGCTCTCTCCTTCTTCATTTCTTTTTCTTTCCCTTGTCCTCTTTCTCACTTTTCCCATTTCAGGGCAGGGAGACTCTGAAAACATTCAACAACTTAAAAAAAATGATTGTCTCCCTGAAAACTTGGCGCAGGACAAATGTCTGCTGCTCTGCCCTGGGGGCCTTGGATGGCCAGAGGGGCGCTGGCCGGAGGGGGACCCCTGGGGGAAGCGGGCACACCCCAGCAGTCAGCAGCCAGCAGCCCGAGTAGGGCGGGAGCTCCTTGCCCAGAAAGGCCAAGAAAAATTGTCCTGGTGAAAATAGGCTCAGAAGGGCTCCAGTGGGGGTGGAGGGGGGGTGCAACAGGCAAGGCTGCCCCTTCCCTTCGAGGAAGTGCCTGGCACAGGTGCCACAGCAGGCTAAAAAAAGAAAAGGAAAAAGTCAGTCTTATTTTAAATGGCCCCTTCTCCGCCCCACCATCGGCTCCAGTCTTCCATGTGGCTGGACGGCTGGTTTTCGGGCTTTAAGAGAAATCAACAATGCTTTCTCTGCGACACCTCTGCAGCCAGCTCAAGGCGAAACTTGAGTGTAACAGAGTCGGAGCAAAACAGTTGTTACGGAATTTTTAAATTTAGAAAAAAACAAAACCTTTTAAACATCTCAACTCTATTTTTAAAAATAACATAGCAGAGAGAAAATAGCATCCAGAAGCTGCACATTTCATACATTTCAAAAACAGTAAGTAGCATTTGGGGAATCCCTGGGAGATGTTTTTGCAAAGATTGGGTTTAAAGAGACAAGTAACATACAATGCTTAAAAAAAATAAAAGCCAAGTACCACCTTTAAAGAACTCTCCCAAAGAGGAAAGGCCAAGGCTCACTCTGCCTGGACACCCCCCACTCTCAGATCTTGGGGTTCTTCATCAAGTTGTTACAAGGGTCCACCCAGCACCTGCGGTTTCTGACCTGTGCGCCTCTTCAGAGCACCCCCAAGGCCACCAAAGGGGGCAATTAAACGACCTAAGAACCAACACCAAGAACCTAAGGGCCCCCAAAGAGAAGCTTGGCCTCTGCTTTTTCTGGAAGCAGAGAGGGAAGGAGAGACAGCCCCTGGTGGAGCTTTGAGACACCAGGCCTCAAAGTTGTTCCCTCTCTTTCCTCCGTCTCCATCTTGACCACCCCAGGGCCCTGACCCCGATCATCGATCATCGAACATCCAAACCAGTGCCCACAGCCCTTTGCAGGTGCCTGGCGGGCGCAGCCTTACCTTGCAAGGCCTTTTCCTGGTCGGCGCGGCTAGCCAGCGGGGCGGGCAAGCTCTGCGCTGCTCCCAGCAGCCGCATTTTGCACGGGCTCCTCCGGCCCAGGATGCTTTCGATGCAGTAGGAGGAGAGCAAAGTTGGAGATTTACTTTTGCACTCGGGCCTCTCAGAGCAGCCCTCCTCCTGGTACTGATTGCTCATGGCTGGGGCTTTTTCCTTGGGCGCAGAAAGCGGGCCGCTCTCTGCCTCTCCAGGCGGGTGGGATGGATGGGTGTGTGTTGGGGGCTAGGGGTAGATGGGGGTTATAATGGATATTATTGCGATCTCTGTGTCTATTTGCCTCCCTTAGTTGTTGGCTGCCGGCTCCTGCCCTGCCGGTGGCCAGAGCTCGCCCTCTCCTTGCTCAGGACAAGCAGTAACAAGTGTAGTGAGCCCGGGGAGCGGAGCTCTGGAGTCTCTCTCCTCCACGTGCTCAGAGGCGCCCTCTGATTGGCTCTCGCCAGAGGCCTGGCTGCGGCCCGTCTGTGGGCTGAGCGCAAAGTCCGGACTGGATTACGGAAAGGCCGGCGGGGGTGGGGGCGTGGGGGGGAGGAGCAGTGGGCACTACCCTAGTCAATTTTCTTTATCTTTTTTTGTTTTTGTTTTTAAAGAACAACTTTCTTAGTTCTCCATCCTCTTCTTGCAGCTTCTCCTTTAACCCTTTAGGGCTGGCCCGAAGCTCTACCTGTGGGTGCTACTTAGGCGACGTGCGCCCCTTCCACCCACCAGAGGCCCTCGCTCCCTGGAAGCGAGCCCTTGAGGCTCACGTTCAGACCGACTTGGCACTTTTCAAAGCCATACTGCGCTGCCAGGACAGTGCCTTGACCTCAGTGGCGCTCAGTCGCCATCCTCTTTAGGTCGGACGGGCCTCCGAGGTGCCCGGGTGACGGCCGCAAGCAAACATCTGCGGTTGGGGCGTTCGGTTTTCTCTTGTGTCTTCACCCAGAAGCCGGCAGTTGCTCTCTTCTCGGTAGCATCCTCGAACCTCTCTCATCTCCATCTTTAACTCTGAAAAAAGTCCCCTTGAAGACAAAGCTCTGCCAAAGGCGCGAGGCCTTACCTACAGGACGGAAAGGGACGGGAGAGTGTCAGCTGCGAGGAGGGGCGGCTGGGGACAGGTTTGGGAGTCCCCCTCCTCTCCTCGGACTCGTTTCCCTTCTCCCTCCCCCACCCCCCACAAGTTCGCCTTGTTAGTTAGGCGGATGTCTTGAGGCTGAACGCTCTCACACCGCGCAGAGCAGAGCCTGCAGGGGACCGAGCCTCCGGCACGGGAGGGACCCGGGCTCGCTTCAACCAAATCTAAGCGCCTAATATTCCTGACTTCCCTTGGCCTGGCTCCCAGAGGCAAAGGTGAGAGAGTTAGCTTGGGGGAGAGTGTGTTTCTTCCCCAAGCAGCTTCCTGCGCGTCCAGCGCTGAGAACTAAGATCCAACTCGGATTGAAGTTGGGCCGAGCCCGGGCGAGGGGCTGGCACGGACATTCTCCTGGCCTGGGTGCAGGACCCAGGGGGCAGCCAGGGACCCCGATGCTGGCAGGGGGCCAGGGGGCCAAGGATTTTGGTTGGGAGAGGGGCCGGGGAGGCGGAATCCATGCCGGGTTTTCCTCTCTCAACCCCTCCAATGTGTCAAAGAGAAAAGCGTTTTACAAAGGATTATACTTGAATCACTTTCAGACGGTATTTTAAAATACAAGGATGCATAACTGGGATTTTTTTTCAGCCATAAACATCTGCATAACTCTTGGATGCTGGTGGGTGGATGGCAGACAGTGCGGACTGGCTTGGCAGGAGCATTCAAGCCACTACTTGAGGGTGATGAAGCGTTGGAAACAGGCGCATTGACAGTGTAAATTCTAATGCTGATCTTACTCCTGCTGTTAAAGGCAAGCGGAAAAGGATGCCTCTCTCTGTCCCTTTTCGTCTCTGTCTCCCTCTGGCTTTTAGTTTGATTCTCACCAGTTTGTTTTTTTTTTCCCCCATACTTGGATGATGGCGATGGGGGACAGAGGAGAACCTCAACTATCTTCGACATTTTTCTTTTTTTTCAAAATTTATCTTTATTGTTGGAAGTATTGCAGATGTCCCCTCCACACACTCCCACTGACCCCCTCTACCGCGCCCACGGACATTTGCTTTTCTCTTCAGCCGCTCTGCTGTTCCAAGGCACCTAGAATCTTCTGCCATTCCCGCATTCTTCCTTTTCCATCCTCACCGATAGTTTGGTGTTTTTGTATCGTCCCGTTCAGCTTTAAACTAACCTTCTGCGCGCTGATTCCCTCCTCCTTCCCTCCCGGCCCCGGAGAGCCCACTCCCGCCCGCCGCGCGGGTCTCAGCACAGCGGAGAGGCGGAAAGACACCTCGGTGTTCCCGCAGCCTCCTGCCGCGGACCCTCGCGGGAGTCCCTGCGCTAGTTGCCGGGAGCAAGACGCCGACACTTTTCCCTCCCCGGCCGGCCCCGCGTCGGAAATCCACAAGACCCGGCTGCGGGGTGGCTGCGTGACTTCAGAGTCGGCTCCGCACACGCAAAGAGTGGGCTGGAAATAAGTCCAAAAAAGAGTCTATAAAATAAAAGGATACACAAAATGCACAAATCATTTCTGAGAACTCAACGGGGGTTTCAACTCTCCATCCCCCTCCTCCCCCTTTTGCAGCTGTTCTCCTTTAAAAAAAAAAAAAAAAGAAGTTGGACTTTCTGCTGGGGTGTATTCTAATTTTAATCACCCATTGTAAAAGGGGAGGTTAACATAGAATTTCTGGTTCTGACTTAATGTCCCCTGGAATTAAATCTAATTCTATTAATGGAATAGAATGTGTTTCTTTGGGAAACTTGTGTGAAAACACTAGCTTTGTGATTTTATTTTGTTTATTTTGGGTACTTTCTAATCAATCTTTCAAGTGACTTCTGGGAGAGGGGCCTGACCCAGCTAACTTTACACCCAGCAGCGCCAAAATGATCTTTATCACAATACTCAACTTCAAAATCTACAATCCATGCTGGCCATTCCCTCAAGATTAATTTTTCTTAAATCTCAGAAAAGTTTACTAACTAACATACCCACAGGGAGACACAGATGTTGGCGTTTCCATAGTGCCTAATCAGAATACGGGATTAAGATGTGTGTTATCCTATATGTTATTTTAGAAAACAAACATTGTTGCCTCTAATATTTGGGAAGAATTGAATTCATTGGTTGAGTTAGGTAGACTTTTAAGAATTGGGCTATATAAGATTATGTATGAAATGTCAATTTCATATGTACCCTCAAAGCAAAATGACACTTCAATTTCTTTTCACCTCACTTTGTTGCCTTTCTTTTACCCACTAATCAAAAGTCATTTCATATCAGCGGTGCTTTTCTTCACGTTTGTACTTGGTTATTCACAACTCTTGGCTCCTCTTGTCTTCGGGGTTTGTAATTGTTGGATTTCTTCTCCTGGGCTGCCTGGAAAACAATGGTTGGCAGTTCGTCTGCTTTAAAAATCAGCCACTAAAATAAAAAGGACGATCGTGGCCAGACGCGAGGGTCAGAAGTGTTTAAAACTGTTGCTTATGGGAAACATGAGGCTGGTCCCCAGGACTGGAAGTAGTAATTACCTGGAAGAGGCGAATGGAAGATACCCCCTTCTTTTCTGTGGTGAGAGCTAATTCTACATGGTAGTTTCAAAATTGTATTTGCAAGAAATACTGGATACGGGGGGTAGCAGTTAGATGGCATTATACAGGAAAAATTGTTTGGAGGAGTTAACCTTGCACACTTCTCATTTGAGATGCCTTAATTTATTGTGCAATATACACATAGATAAATAAAGCTGTAACGGGCTTCCAGCCACACCGGAAGGCTCAGGTCCCCTTAAATTATGCTCAACCTCTTCAAAACATATATTTAAACAATAGAAATAAACTTCATTGGAGTCTGGTGACCAATTTGGAAGCCATTGGAAGGCAAGACAATAAGTCCTGATTACACGCAAGGATTCTCTGTGATGTGCTATCCCCTTTGCCAAGTCATTTGGCTGTTTTATTTATTTAATTTCTTTCTTTCTCTCTCTTTTTTTTAAGAAACAAACTTTCATTTATGGTCTTCCGCAACCTGCTAATTTAACACTGGAGCGTGTTACTGCAGTGTTAGGAGGAGAGAAAGAGGGAGAGAAAACAACAATACTGCAATGATCCAAATGATACAGTAGAATTATAGCAATTATAGTTCTACTTGTGGGAGAAAACCTTGCTGAGATCAGGCAAACAAACTGAAGCCTTGTGAGGATAACTAGCGAGGGGATTGACAGCCGGCGCTGGGAAGAACCGGAGGGCACAAGCAGAAATATTTGCCTCTCCCCCACCCCCTTAGCTCCAACCAGTCAAGGTTAACCTCCTCTAAAGCTGCTTTCAAAGTCTTAGCCGCTCCAGGGTGTGCATTTTATGCACACATCCAGGTTCGCCTTCCTGGAAGTCTGGTGATGGGAGGAAATGTAACATAATCCGCTTGCCTGGCACTTGCCCCTCGCCTTATCTGCCCCTGCTTGCCCTCCACCCCTTCCCCGTGCCGGGGTTCTTCCCGCGGCTGCTGCCGGGATCTCCCTGTGGACCGTGTTTGTTTGTTGATGTGTTTTCAAAGGAGCAGCCGGTGGAAAGGAAGGTCCGAGGGGAGTGATCACTTGGATTTCCAGGGAAGACTCCTTGGCGATGCTAATCCTTCCCTCTTCGCCGTGTCGATCGCTGAGCCGGGGGTTCCACCATCAGGGCTCGGCTGGGAGAGGTCAAGGTATGGACGTGTGCGTGTGATTATGGTGTTAGGACAGCTCCCCTGATCTGCAAACTTCGCCGCTTTCGGTTCCCCTTCAGCGACCAGGAAAGGGGGTGGGGGAGCGAGAACTAAAGAGAAAACAGACCACCCCAACCGTCCTGGAGGCCAACCGAGGAATGTTCACGCCAAGCCAGGCTGCGCGGTCGCAGCCTCACATTTGCCCTGGGAAGGGGGGGGGGGTCTCCTCCTACGGGGGAGAGGCCAGTGGTTGGGCTCTCACCCTAAGTCCCTCGGCGGGAGCCCCCATCTCCTGCCGCACGCACCCCCAGGTTTCCAGCCCCAACAGGGAAACTTCTCCGCGCCCTGAAATCACCAAGACCTCGCTGCTCCTCTCCAACGCCGCAGGGCGGGAGTCCGGGTGCGTCCAGGGTCCAGGCGCCCCCGTGGCAGCTGCTTCTCCGTAGCTGCTCCTGGCGACCCCGGACGTGGCGGGGGACACAGGTTGCAGCCGAGCTGCGAGCGCCCCAGCGCCAGCGTTAGCGCGGAGGCCTCGCCGACCCCGGCTGCCCGCTTCCCCACAGCCAAACCCCCCTCTCGGGCTGGGCTCGGCGCCACGGCGAG